GGGGAACAGTGTCAGAGGCCTTACTGAAGTCCAGGTAGATGACATCCACAGCCTTTCCTTCATCCACTAGGTGGGTCACAGAAGGAGATCAGGTTGGTCAAGCAGGACCTGCCTTTCATGAACCCATGCTGACTGGGCCTGATCCCCTGGTTGCCCTTCACATGCCCGGTGAGCGCACTCAGGATGAATCGCTCCATAATCTTCCCCAGCACTGAGGCCAGGCTGACAGGCCTATAGTTCCCAGGATCCTCCTGCCGGCCCTTCTTGTAGATAGGTGTTATATTGGCGATCCTCCAGTCACCTGGGACCTCCCTTGTTAACTGACCATGATATCGTGCCCTGCTTAACAAGTCAGGACTGGTATGAGCCCTGCTTCTCCTCCTCACCTCATTCAAGGCAGTTATAAAAGTGGTTCTGAAATAAAACATCCCCATCTAAACTGGAAGGTACTTCAGACCCAAGCTTCCAGTGCCGTTTATTTTCTCAACCCCAATGAGTTTATTTTGTTACCTGCATGGACATTGCTGTGCTGGGCTAGCGAGGCTCTCAGGCCAAATGTCTTCCCACAAACGTCACACTTGTAGGGCTTAGCACCCATGTGGCACCGTTTATGGCATTTTAAGTACTCGTTGGTGGCAAAATGTTTTCCACACACATCGCATTTAAAAAGGCGCTCTCCTGAGTAATGAGAAAAAGACGTTGTGAACTCTTTCAGCAGAATTTTGTACTTTGAAGTTAGTTTTCAAATGTCTTTCTATCCCTAACAGTTCCTTCCTGGTACTTGAAGTCTCTTCTGTGAATCACAAAACAAAGCGTGTTTCTTTTTTGTGAATTACAAAACAAAGTGTGCATCTTTTTCAAACCCCAACTAGCCCTTTTCTAGCAATATAAAGGGACGTGATGGGAGGAACCACATGGAAGGACAGAAATATTTAATGCCTACCTGTGTGGGTCCTTTTGTGGCCAGTGAGTTTGCTTTTATCAGCAAAGCAAGCCCCGCAGTCCTCACAAATATATGGCTTTTCCCCTGTATGTGACCTACACGGAGTGGAAGACACATGACCATTAAGAAACTAGCTCTTGTAGCGCATTCTTAATATAATGTATTCAAAATTACATTCTACACACTACAGGCAGCATACTTCATTTTTTAAATGAAGCAGGAAAAAATACATTCTGCTCAGTCAGGAAATAGAGTGTTTGCCAGTCTAGGTGCTACACTAAAGCACTAAAATTCTCATTCAAGGTTTACCTTTTCTTCCCTCTCAGGGCCTACAAAATCCATCTTTCTTTCACAAATTATAGCTCATAGTCTAGGCACTGGAAGGGAGAAAGCATGGAAGATGACAAGCTGCTGCTGTGCTAGGGACTGAAAGCGCATCCAGACTGTCCCCAGCACAATGCCAGCAGCAGATCTCTTCGGACACTGTGGGCCACATTCTTGGCTTCTGCAATCCCTCTGTCTCATGTCCTTTGGCCTGCAAACTTTAATTGGCAGGATACTCCCATTTTTAAGACAAAAGGCACTAAAGAAAGTCAGGCAAGAAGTATTTCCGAACGCATGCTAGACAGCTCCTTTTAACCTAGCTCAAATCAGAGAAAGTCTAAACCTAGTGTTTGGTCTTAGCACTGTGCTGACTTCCCTTATTCCAACCCAAACAGTATGATGTGCAAAAACATGCATAATTTTGAGTTCTGAGGCAAAATATGAGACAGCTAGTTACCCAACACAAAGGCCATGAGTCACTGCTTTGTTGCAGTCCTATCGCATCTTACATGCAGCGCAGCTCTACTGCGTTTCAGCTGACAGAGATTATCTTGACATTTCAGATGTTTTGCTGGTCCTGAATCAGTATACCTCACAATTTTTAAAATCACTGTAAGAACAATTAGGAGACAGAAGAAAGCTACATTCCCCATTGTACGGGTCCACAGTCTCTACTGACTGGATTTCTCTCACATCATTTACCCTTCAACAGTTAACCTCCTATTATACGCTATCTGCTAGGCTCCCTGTGTGGAGAAAGATGGGAAATTCCACGGGATGATTCATCCTCTCCTGGGAGAGGACATGTTTAACACAGACACCACCAGAGAGCAATTCATCCAGTCTACTTCCAGTGACTAGAGGGAGCCCAGATTAGAAGTCCAGCTTTTGCATTGCATACAAAAAAATCAAACTTCACACTAAATGACTTGCTCAGAGGGATAAAGAGCGAGCAGGGCTTGGTGTCTGGGTCTCTGAGGTCTTTGACTAATTCTTCAGCCTACGCTACTTTTCATCAGTGAAGGCCACCATCTAATTTTGCAGACTGTCTCAAATGACTGGCTTTTGCTTACAAGTTTGGATAGGGCATCTGTTTCAAAATCCCTACCAGAACTGATGCAATGATCAGATGCAGACAAAGCCTTTACATAAAAGAGTTAATCACAGACACTACAGAATAAATTATATCCCAGTGTTCCTTGTCATAAGGACACGCAAGGAGAATGACTCAGAACTGGGAAGTTGGAAGGGGAAAAAAGAAGTGCTGAAGTACACCGGGCATGCAAGGAGTGGTAATGGGAGAAGCAGTACTGTAGGCTGACCTGGTATGGATCTTAAGTTGTGACGGCTGAGCAAATTTTGAATGACAAATGCCACATTCGTAAGGTTTTTCTCCTGTATGCGTCCGCATGTGAAACACTAGTGCTGTTCGGGAGCTGAGGATCTTCCCGCAGACAGAGCAGAGAGGGCGTTTGACTCTGCCTTCATGCTTCCGCATATAATGCGTCCTCACATCTCTCTTTCTTTTAAAGGTAGCATTGCAAAGGGTGCAGGCAAACTGCCTTTCTTCAGTGTGGACACACGCCCGATGCTCCTTCCAGCTGTTGTAACTAGCAAACGACTTGCTGCAGATGTCACACTGATAGACTTTACCAGGCAAGCACTGATGGACATCTCTGCAGTGATCCACATACTTTTTCCGGGAAACAAACTGCTCATTACACTTATCGCACGTTATTACATAGGCAGATTTCTTATTCACTCCACTTTTATTTACCTTCTTTATCTTAAACTCTTCATCTGATTCACGTTCTTCACCATCCTTCTCATTGGAGTATTCATCATCCTCATCGTCCTCCTCAGTACAGACCTCCTCATTACCTCTACTGTCTTCAACTTCTGAATACACCGCGTTGTAATCTACCTCCTCCTCACCCTTCACACCCATTTCACCCTCATCCTCACTCCCTTCTTCACTCATTTTTTCATGTCTTGCTTCAGCTTCCTTACATTTCCGCTTCCGTTCTTCCTGCTCATTGCTACAGTCTGCTCCAGCAACAGATGAACCCCCGGGTTCTTCCTCACGACTTGTTGCCTCTTCATGCCTAGCACACTTCTGTTGTTCAGCCGCCGACGTCCCACCCCATGTCTCTCTGCCATAATCTTTGACACAGCTTGTGGCTTTTGGTCTATGCGCAGGCGGAACCACCATCCAATAGAGAGGCATAAGCTTCCTTTCTTGCCCAGACTCATGGATTTTTCTGTTAAAACAAACAAACAACAGAGCACTACTTCAGTACGTCTTAATTGTTTCAAGTCAGGCATGTTTGCCTCAGAGGAAGAGTCATTTTCTTCTAATTGTTCTTCACACCATTTCAGAAATTAACAGCACATTCGGAGAGCCAGGATCAGGGAAATTTTATGTAGAGTTGGACCAGTTAATTAACAAAATTAGGTGGTCTCAGTTACCAAGGATGGTGCCTCTCAGGTATACATATTTGTCATCTGACAAGTAACACAGTATGGACTGCAAATTTTCCTCTGAGGCCGTGATGGACAGGATAAGAAATGATGGACTTCAAAGAAGGGAAATGCAGATTAATTGCCTATATGTAAAATAAAAACAGATCCCCTTCTAAGCGATCGGTTGCAGCAGTTAACTCTACTTAGCGCTACTCAGTGTGTGGAACTAGCCACATCATTGCACTCACAACACATCTGGAATGTTTTTTCTGCTACTGGACGGAACTACAAACAAATTTTGACATTATTCACAAAGGAAGCTGGGATCCAGCAGAAAACCACCTACCTCCTATACCACAAAAGCAGAGTATGGAGATGTTTGACATGTACAGTGGCTTCTGCAGTTCTGGAAACTACTGTGCAATTTCAACATCTGCTTTTCAGTCAGGCAGCACTTACTAAGCCTATCCAGAAGCTCACTCTAGCCAGAAAAACAGCACACAGGGTATTTGGCCCATGAAAACCCTACTAAAAAGCACCACACTTGCCCCGATGTTTACGAAACTGGAATTTTCTTGTGTATTTTACACAGATGCCGATTCTTTTTGGGCTCCTATTTAAAAACCCGAATCTGAGGCTTCCAAAAATCACCTTAGAGATCCAGCTGCACAAGTCCCCTCTGATTCAACGGGAAATGTTCGCCCAAATTCCCAGCCTGGGAGAGCTCAATCCAGTAATCCAGACTGAGAGCTTGATGAGGTCATCAGAAAAAATATGTGCTGATTTCAACAAACTTCTGATCAGGTCCAAGGAATTCTGGAACTAAAGCAGCAAGGACTTCAGGAACATTTTTATCCTGATACGCAGAGAGAAAACACATTTTCCTGCGCGTGCATGGACATGGACACCCCCCCACCCCGAGAATGCTGTACCTTACATGAGTATTGTAAGCAGACCGCTGAGCAAAGCTGGCGGGGCAGCGTTCGCATTTATAAGGTTTCTCCCTGGTGTGCGTTCGTATGTGGACTGTCAGGCCACACTTGGAACTGATGACCTTGTCGCAGTATGGGCAGGCCTGGGGATCCCTCTTCTTCTCGTGCACCCTGCGGATATGGTCGCCTATGTCCTTCTGACGCTTAAATCTCTTGTCACAAAATATGCAGGAGAAGCCCCACTCATCACTATGAACGGTGAGGCGGTGCTGCCGGAGGTGCTGGTGAGTGGAGAAGAACTGCTCACACGTGCTACAGCTGTACTTCACAGCCAGATTAACGTCATGCTTGAGCTCTATGTCCGACTGGTACTGCTTGATAACATGGAACGATTCATGTCGCTTCTCGCATGCAATCTGTGGCAAGACTTTTGCCACATGCCGCAGTGATTTCCTACGTGCAGTTTTATTGGCAAATTTGGAAATCAGACTGTTTTCATCTTCCCACTGCTCTGTCAGCGCGTTCCCAATTACTACGCAGGCTTTGTTTGACTCAGTCTCACTTAGGAGAGAATGACTATTCTCATTTTCCAGACTAACAATATCCATGTTGAGTCTGTTTCTGGTATTTGTCTTGTCACGTTTTGGTAGCTTTGCTGTCCTGGATTTTGATTCTGGAAAAGCAGTGTCCTCTTGCTCCAGGCTTGCCGTCTGGCCTTCAATAGTTGAATAGACTTCATAGCCAGTCAGCAACTTCTTATGTTTTTGCCTATCCCAGAGTTTCTTCTGCATGGGTATCGCCACAACTTGGGAAGAGTTACTCAGTTTGCAGTTCTCCTCTTGCTGGATGTCAGTCCACTGTGGCCCACCATTTTCACACAGCTGACCTTTCAGATGGAGGCTCAAATCTAAACCCTTCTTGCTCTCTGCTTTTACTTCTTCACAAATGTCAAGCAAATCCTTGCATTCAAGTCTTTCGGCTATTTCTTTCATCCGTTGCAGTTTTTCTGCTTCAATCTCCACTTCTGCAGTGTAAACAAACTCCAGGAAGGAGGTGAACTCTTCCGTGTAAATGTCTTGCAGAGTCACTGTGCAATTTTTGGCGTCCAGCATCTCATCATGCAGAAAAAGCCCCTTGAAATAGTTGCTGGAAGCTGCCAAGACAGCTTTGTGAACCAGAAACTCCTCCTGAATTCCAAGATGTTGTGTGTGAACTGTCACGTCACAGAGGTGACCAAACTGGTACAGAGAATACAGTGCCCTCAGCAGGTTAGGAGCAGCGACCTTGGATTTCATCAGAATTTTCTTTTTCTCCATCCTGCCAGAAAAACAGACAAATATTTGAATGCTTTCTCTCTCTCTTCCATGAGCCATATTTTCATTCATGTACGACATCAATCACTTAAGAAAAAGCTCAGTGGAGACCTATGTCCTAATTCCTAATTTACAAGACGAGGTTGAGACCTCAAGGTTACCTCTATCAATACAATCATCATCAGCAAACACACTTGGTTACAGTCACAGATTTAGATTTACACTCTAGAATACCACTGCAGAGTGTATGTAGCACAGATGGTATAGGTAACAAAATATGACTAATTGGCCCTGCTTAATAATAAAACATTCTTCCTACAAGCACTTTTCAACAGCAGAAGCCACAACAATTTACAGTGGAAACAAGCATCTTTCCCTGCTCTTGTACCAATGAAGAACTGAAGCATAGCAAGTCACTTTGCTTCCGATTGTTTCCAGGCTGGTGTGGAAACAGAGCCTGTGTTTTCAGTCACACCACGCTCCACTCACTGTGCCAGGCAGTCCCTTGTGCCAAAGCAGGGGGATAAATCTTTGGATCTGGTTCAGTTTTTTTTCTGCTTTTTTCCCCATGTAAACAATCAGACCTGGAGGTTAATAATGATAATAAGCTTCTATTGTATTTGGCCACTTAATTACTGGGACAAACTATGTATGTAGAAATAGCTACATTTTTTTTGAGGAGGTAATAGTGCTTTGTTTGAAAAATATTTCAAAACTGTTGGCTCCTCCTCAATCAACAAGCAGAGGGGTCAGAAGTTTTTTGACATTTTCAGAAAGAACAATTTGCATTTCCCCACCAGCTCTAGAGACTGACACTAGCTATTATTACAGTGAATCGGATGCCTGAGAACTCTGTGGCTTTCCTGTCTCGACTCGCATATAACACCCATACCACTGAACAAGAAGTCTCATTTACCCTCGCTCATCAAGCACAATGATGCTGTCGACCTTACTGAGGCCTTTAAATGCTCTGATCTGATCCTCTACGCTGGTATTCCCTAACTAGCATAGTTTTTAGATGTCTGTTATTTAGCACATGCTTACCACAGCTTTGTAACCAAGGGAAGAACATTAGGCCAAAATAAACAGACGAATCAACTTGTTATTGCTTAAAGGCTCCATTTAAGCTCAGCGCTGTGCTTCCCTCTCACAGTAATAATGGTTGGCAGAAAATGACACCAAATTGTACTTTCACTTCTCATCTAAATTACATTTGACATTATATTAAATACATTCCTGGCAGATATAAACTGTCTGATTAAGAAGGCAAACGTCTCTTCAACATAAAGCACAAGGAAGTCAAATACAATACAGAGCCTAGAGTGAAAAGCTTTGAATAGCAAGCTTAAGAGATAGCTTTGAGAATACTCTTCCTATTACAAGCTACCGCAGCAAGCACTGGAGAGGACACTCATCTTCTAATCTGCAAGGCATAAGTCATTCAGTGCTTCTGACACCACAAATGATGTTTTAAAAATTGCATTTAAAGATTTAAACTGCTTTTCTAATGACCCCATTAAGTACCGCTGGAATGTGTAGATCTATGTTTGTAGGAAACGGACAAGATTTCTACTCGATATAAAACATCTGTAAATTTGAGTTATGCAGAACCTCAAATATTTGTACTTAACTGGGGGGTTGATCCTGAGTACTCGATAAGCTCCTGCAAGAAGTCCTGCCCCAATCAACGGGACTGCGTGGGATCTTGGCCTTCTCACCCAGCTGATGCAGAACCCCCTCACTCCCACACTCCCTACCGCTAGCAAGTTCAAACATGTTTACTCAGAGAAAAGAAAACAAAAACATTACTACAGGAAGAATACTAAGGAAAAGTAACTAGAAGAAAAAGACAAACAAAACAGGTGTTGAAATACACCACAGAGGCTCGAAATTGCAGAGGCGGAAGTGCAAGATAGCATCGGCTAAACTCTACCAGAAAAGGACTGCTCACATCCAGACTCCTACAAACGTACAATTATCACAGTCTCTGCTTCATGAACTCTGGCCAGCAGGCATCTTTAAAACACTCCCAGCTCAACATCTGTCAACTATTCCCTGCCAATGATCACTGGCTACGTGGAGACATAACCCTAACAGCTCCCACATTTGCAGACTGTAAGAAGCAGCACAGATCCGAAGATTAATACTGAAGTTAGCCCACAAGTGCACAAAAGCTTCCCACCTTATCTGTCCCCTGGCTTGCCCTTCTTAATGTTTTCCAACAGGATATCCTTCTTCAATTGCGAGGGTTGCGAAGCTCACTGATCAGCAGCGCTTAAAGAAATCAATGAACAGAGCATGTGCTAATTTCCTCCTGCTCCTTTTTAAGATCCCCATCTACGATAAATCCTTGATACATGCTCCCATGTGAGCTCTACTAACACTAATATCTGATACTAAGCCAAATAGAGAGGTACGTTCCAACATCATCTCTTTAGTTCAGCTGGTTCTAGACTAAATCAGCCCAGAAATGGTTTACTGAAATGTCTTTACAGTTAAAAATGCCACAAATTAATCAATTCTCACCTTTTTTTTCCTTCAGAAAAAAAGAGGCTGTACATTTTGTTACCATTTGTAGAGGAAATTAATCTTTGGCTTTCTGAAGTGGTGTTGAATATAGTTTGTCTTCATATTTTACAGTTTCATGAGGTTGAGAGTAGAACACAACATTTCAAGCGTATAACGCAGTATGAAAGACTCCCCCCCCCAAAAACAACAACAACAAAAAGTTGAGCTAATGGAAGATTTCCAAGTATTTTGCTTTCATTTTGGGGGTGAGGAAGCAGCTTCTTATCCCCAATGGATTAGGAAAGCTATTTTCTCCTTACTCTCTACACTTTGTCAACACTTAATGACAAGAGAAGATTCTTGAGGAGTTCCCATCCACAGCAATGGGAATGAGGATGACAAATGCTGCAGTAAATCATCCAGTTATTGAATCAAAGAGAAGAACATATTCTGTTCTAATTGCTGGTTAATGTTGGCTTTAAATAACCACCAGTAATTAATACGAAAAATAATGGTAACATCATTAATAGGTTTAATTCTATCCCTCCATTTACAAGCACAAGGCACCCTAGTCTTCATAATCCTAACTTTGGCTCCCAACTGCATCCGTAAACCAAGAATTCCCAGAGCTGCACCCCATCTCTTTTGCTTTCCACGACTGTAGCCAGCCCAAAATCTCGAAAGGATCAGCACTTCTCTCTCCTGCCCTATTTCAAACACGCCACCCAAACCTGGCAGAACAAGCTCCTGAGCGGCAACGTAGGACGGTCACAAAGGCGGAAGAAGTGCAATACAGCAAGGAGGAGTGCGCCCTGCCACTCCACAACCCCTCTGCTATTTTCTCACACCCTCAGAAACCCTCTCGGAGCTGCTGCTGGGAGGCGGCAGGTTCACAGCCCACCGGGAGAAAGAGACCACAGATCACTGCGGGTCATCCTGAACCTGTTACCACTTACACAACCAGCAAGCAAAAAGGGAGCTGGTTAGAGGTTGACAGCCCTAATAAACATCACTCTGCTGTACCCTGAAGCTACTTCTGAAAGCAGCACGCTGCTAGTCTCCCAGACACTGACTTCAACTGGAAGATGTAAATGAAAACAACTTTTTTTTTCCACATACTGCATTTTATGGGTTTCTTTGTAACTTCTTCCAGCTTTTTGCTCAGTAATAAGCGAATAAATGCTTTAAAGAATTTGCATGTATGCAAGATTTAAAGAAAACATAATTAATCTAACAGAACCACTGCAAAAACCAAAACATATTTCAACTAAATCACATTTCCTAGTAAGGCCACTGGAATAAGTACAGCTGTTTTCAGAAATAAAGCCTGAAAGTGGCTTCCAATCTCTAAGAAAGGATTTATATTTGGTGTGTGCTATAGTGCTCTTTTTTTTAATGATCATAGAATCATAGAACCATAGAATGTTAGGGGTTGGAAGGGACCTCTGTGGGCCATCTAGTCCAACCCC